CATACATATACATACATGTACATACACATACATATACATACATACATGCATACATACATACATACATACATACATACGTACGTACATACATACATACATACATACTTCATACATACGCATGCACATATACATATACAGCATATAGTACTGTATGTGTGTATGTATATATATATATATACACATACACATGTGCACACACACACACCTTGGTTTGTTTATGTATTTAAATTTATGTCTATTTTTGGTTACGTATATAGTTGTAGGTGTGTACAAAATATACGTAAAACATACAGTTTGTATATACATGCTTGTATTTATACTTAGTTATGTTCTGTTTGTACATACATATTAATGGCTGCTAGGCTCCTAGGTTGTTATAGGCTGTCCTGCAGGAAACTGAAGGGCAGGGGTTAGGCCGACAGATTTAGGGACAATATGCGGACAAGGCTGCATATCCCTCGCATTCCACTGTTGTTCCCCACCTCCCCNNCCCCCCCCCCCCCCCCCCCCTCTCCGTGCTTTCGATGCTCATATCCTGCGATGGACTTGATAGCTGAGGCCTCTCAGTCAGCCTGCCCCCGGGATGTTCTAGCAGCGGATCTAGCAGGTTGGGCTTCAGTGTTACACCAATGCGTTCTGGAAAGGGACACGAAGCGTTCTGCGCCCAAGTTTCTGCATGCTTGTCTTCTGTTCCAGGTTATGGTGAGAAAGGCACACGAGTCTAGGTGCTTTTCCAGACAAGTCCTTGCATTTTGTTTTAATGCGGCGTTGGCGCAAGTCATCTGCTGGCCCAGTGCTACGAACGATGACAGTCAGATGTGAGATGTCGACCTTCAGTTCTGAGAAATTGTCCCTCCAGATAAAGCTCCAAACCCACAAGCCAGAATGGCAAACCGTACCTGCCAGAACAGCAAGGAAGCAGCACCGGTGAGGCCCATACTTGAACTCGGGGGGCTCCGATGCTTCGACGGTCGCCGTGCCCGCAGATCCGAGGCCATGGGAAGCGCATGTTCGGGGCTCCTCTATCTAAGGGTTCCATAAGGGCTCTATCACGGTTTAGGGTTAAGGGTTTAGGGGTTCAGGGTTTAGGGTTTTCAAAGCACCGGTTTGTTTCGAGGTTAAGGGCCAGTACTGGGTGCAGATTTAGGGTTTGGGACCGAGGCGTGACGGTCTGGGGCTTAGGCTTTGCTGCGGACCAGACAGCTTGCAGAAGAAGGCTATGGCTATGTAAACTAATCCTCCAATCTCCCGAACCCTACTTCCTCGCCCTCAACACCCAAATCTTGCAGCCCGAGGCCACACACACCCCTTGACCCCTTCAAGAAGGCCCTAGCCTGAAAGGACCCAACCCTAAACGCCCCGAATATGGGAGTCTACTAACAATTCCCAATATTATTCCTTAGGGCTGCTTGTTTTAGTTTACGTACACCCTGCTATTCGAATCACCAGGGCCCCCACACTCTAAATCCGAACCCCTAAACCCCTAAACCCTAAACCCTAGATTCTACCCACTTTTGAGGGACTCCCGGCCAGGTTCCAGTCCCTTCTGACAGCCAAGAGCTGCCAGGCGACTCAGACAGAGCTGCACGAGGCCTGTTTGTTGTTTTTTTTTTCGTCGGGCTTAGGGGTTTAGGGGTTTAGGGTGCAGAAAGTGTGGAGGGTTTAGTTTTACTAGGGCTTAATTAGGGTTTGTTCTGTGTTTAGAGGTTTCGGCCTGCTGACTCCGTAATTCATCTCCGGGTTATAGTAATTATTGAGACGACGTCGTACCTCAAACTCTTCTTCTACCTATGGAAACCCTCGCTCCTTCGTATTTGGAGCAGCATCGGCTCTCCTATTGCTTCCGGTCGACTAATTTTCGTTGGAGGATATACGGTCAGAGGCAAATAGGGCATGGAATGTATAGTCCGGTGATTAAACGCATACAAGACCTAGAACATGCCAGGACCAAAGTTATTCCGACTGCCTGGCTCGCCAATTCCTTCTGGGACTTGGGCTGTAGGTTTTCGGGTGACCCACTTCTGTGCAGGCTCCGCCGTTGCTGGAAGAGCTCTCCACAGGCTGGATGCCTTGGTTAAGGGGGAGATTTCTCCGATACGGTGCTGTCGGGCTTACGAATGTAATCATCCCCAGGACACATGCCGCATGCTTTATCCCCTATGCCCAGGTGGTGAAACTTCGTACAGACCGGTGGTCGAAACTGGTGTGGGTGTTTCAGCCTAGGACCTGAGGAGGCAACAGCTCTTGGTTTCAGCGCCAAGATACGTAAGAATATGGAGGAATAATGTCCGAACCAGACTTCCTTCCCTTTTTTGATGTCTGACTTATGAGCTCAGAAGCTGAGTACCGTTGACCCGAAACCCGAAACCCCAAACCCCTAAACTCCGAAACCCTAAAGCCCCTACAGTGCCCTACAGTAAACCCTAAACCCTAACACCCTAAACCCCAAAAGCCCTAAAACCCTAAACCCTAAACCCCCAAAGCCCTAAACCCTAAAACCCAAAAACCCTAGAGCCCTAAACCCCCTAAACCCTAAAACCCTAAACCCTAAAACCCCGAATACCCTAATTCTAAAACCCTAAACCCCAAACCTAAACCCTAGATTCAACTCACTTTAAACCCTAAAACCTAAACCCTAAACCCCAAAAGCCCTAAGCATTTTGTCCTTCGGCCCCTGGGAGGTGTCAGCGTGGGCGACAGCTGGACTTGGACGAGCAGGCTCAAGGCGCGGGTTCGTTCAGGGCTTTCGGTTTTAGGCTTTGGGTTTAGGGTTTGGGGTTTAGGGCTTTGGGTTTAGGGCTTAGGGTTTAGGGTGTGGGGTTTAGGGCTTAGGGTGTACAGGGCTTTGGGCTTGTAGGGTCTAGGGTTAGAGCTTATCGGGGCTAGGTTGAAGGCTTAGGGTATTAGGGTTTCGCCTGTAAGGAGTCCAGGAGGGTGTAGCGCTCAGGAATTATAGGTTTCACAGGGCTTATGGGGTTTTGGGTTCGAGCTTAGGGTATCAGGGTTTAGTTTAGCCTTTAAGGGGGTTCGAGGGCTCAGGGTTGAAAGGGTTTAGTGCTTATAGGGTTTAGGGTTGGGGATTAGAGTCTTAGGGCTTAGCTCTTATAGGGTTTATAGGGTTCAGCGCCTATAGAGTCTGGGGTTAGGGCCAATAGGGCCGAGAGGGTTTAGGGTCAGGGCGTGTTAGGGTTTAGCTCTTAGGGGTTTTAGAGCTTAGGGCTTAGGGTTGGAGGATGTCTGGGGTTTGGGGGCGCAGAGTTCGTAGACGGTCCTCAAAAGTTTGAGGCTCTGTATACCCTAGAAAGCTTGGGGCTCTATGTATCCTGTCTCAAAAGACTATACAACTATGTATTTATAAATCCTATACAGGCTATTTGGGCCCTACATTGAAACCTTTTGGTCCCAGAGCTCACCGAAACACCTTTCTTCCACGCCTTGCGAGGCCAAAGAGGCACTGTCTCCCGAGCCGTGCTTTCAGAGGCTCGCAGACGGTTTAGGGTTTAGGGCCGTTTAGGCTTTAGTCTTGTTTTTGGAGGGGGTCATCAGGCTTGCGTGGGGCTGTCAGAGGACGTGCAGTTGTGGCGCTCTGGGGCTGTAGCTCCAAACAGGTTTGTTGGGGTGTGAGACATCCTCCAGTCTCTAGGGAATGCTCGGTGTGAGCATCGGAGTGTCGGGTCTTGAATTTCTAGAGCTCAGGGCCTGGAGTGCCAGGTCTCCGAGGCCCAAGGCTAAAACTGTAGGGTTTGCCTGCAGAGCAGGTCCACGGCTCTACGACGTTAGCTGACTGACTCGACCGACCGACAGACTCGGCTTCTCACCTGCTAGCGGCTAGGTAGTAATGAACCTCGCCACTCCGAACCATCGCAGGGATGCTGTGTTCGAAGACTGCTTAGAGGATGACGTGAGGATGGTGCCGGGCCTACTATCGCAACCTCGATGCTTGGTAAGACCACTGGCGCAACAATGAGTACTAGTCATTATTACGTAGTAGTAGCAGTAGCAGCAGCAGCAGCTGCAGCAGCAGCAGTAGCAGTAGTAGCAGCAGTAGCAGCAGTAGCAGCAGCAGCAGCAGCAGCAGCAGCAGCAGCAGGAGTAGTAGTACTAGTACTA